CTCTCTCTCTCTGGCAAATAAATAAATAAAATCTTAAAAAAAAAAAAAAAAAAGGTGTGGGAGTTTTGATGACAGAGAAGGTATGGAATAGTGAGCTAGTATAATGAGATGAGAGGTCTATCAGAGTAGGTTGGATTGTGAGGAACCGTGTTATATTAATCTGAGATTTGAGACTGAATATTCAAAATGAAAAAAAAAGTCAATTCTGTTGAATCACTTCTTTAACTGTTTGTGTGAGGACAGAGGTGGAATGTGAAAGATTTGGGATGTGAAAGGGAGGAGCAGGGCAAGGAGTTCAAAGGCATTCACCAAAAGGCAGCATATTTGAACTCATGAAGCTTGATTAGACACGGAGGAAAGTGGGGTGGCAGATAATGGAAAGTGGGAGGAGTCAAAACAAGGAAGCTCTGATGAAGTGGAGGAACTGTGCCATCAAAATGCAGGAGCTAGTGAGCTGGAAGGAGAAGGAGGAGGAGGAAATGGTCAGAGGCTGGGAAGACTGACACAGGGATCCAGAAACTGCCATGCTGGGTTGGGATGGGGAGAATGGAGATCTGAGAATTCAGAATTCCAGGTGTCAGCTGCCTCCTCTGTGGGGTCACTTGAGTTCCTGTGAATGCTCTCTGGAGTTGGAGAGGTTACAGTGGACTCTGGGCCAGACTATGAGTCTTCAGTAAAAGTGAGAACCTTGTTTAGAGGTCAGGGAAAGACACAAGCAGAAGAGAGGGGACAGGCGGTTCAGACGAGTCTGGAAAGGGTAAGGTTTTGTGTAAGAGGAAGGTGATCGTGTTCTGAAAGTGTCACTGGAGAGCAAAAAGGAGATGTATGTCCAGGAAAGATGAAAGGGCATGATTTGAAAAGAAAATCTATTTTAAAAGAATTATAATGCTAATGTAAAGTTGCTTAAGTATCCAACAACAGATGTTTAAAATCCCAGCTACTTGTCATTTATGTATATGTGCAAGGCTGCTCAAGCCTGTGCTCAGACACTGCTGGGAAGCCCTCTGGAGAGAAGGCACCCCAGGAAGTTGAAAAAAGAAAAAATAAACTAGAAAATGGAAAATGAAAATAAGTTTTAACAATGTGAAAATAAAATAACGATGTGAAAATAACGTGAAAATAAAAATATGAAAATAAAATAAATCATCTGGACTGAAAATAATCATTAGATTTGCTAACCTCTTATTATTCCTTACAGTCTAAACCTCCCCACCTTTACCATTCAGAAAAGATGATGGAAGCATACCAATCATTTTATTGCTGTCAACATAAGCCTTTGGAAATTACAAACCAACTTAAAATAGCCAGTGGAGGACCAAGCAAGGAATTAGCACCCAAATAAGCCAAGAATTTTTATATTGAAACCTGAAAGAAAGCACCTTGTTTTAAACATCACCAAAGATGAATATTAGAGTTTAAAAATACTTATAAAATAGCAAAAGAAAAATAAGTTAGACCAGGTACCACTTGATGGTAAAGTATTCAGTAATTCAGATATAACTAAATGGAAGGAATACAGACAGTTAAACAATAGGTTGTTCGTTGTTTTAAAATTCTTTGATGGTTAATAAGTTGATCCATTCATGCTTTAGTCCTAGCATAAATTGAACAATCTAGAACTGGGAGGCAGATTCTATTTCATGGAGACTAGTAATCTGTGTGGACTGGTGTATTGCAGTGCAAAGGGAAGTAAGTCTTAAAAATACCAGAAATCCTACAAAAGTTTGGGGTTTATTAAATAGGCATGGGAAAATGTAGCAAATACTTTTAGAAGTTTTGGGTTTTGAATGTCTTTCCTAAATTGCCTATTTTAGCCAATGATTATAAAACCTTTTAGTTCCTACTCTAGCTAAAGGGTATCATATGTTGACCTTCAGATGTCAGTATAAATTCAGAAATGAGTTGTGTGTATAACTAAAAACATCCAGTTAGAGTGAATATGTAATTTTTGAAGGTATATAATTAAAATTCTGTCAGGAAATTACATTGAATGGAGATTACAAGGCTAAAAACTATATGCCAATAGAGAAGAGATGTCCAGATGAAGACCTACATATATCCCTAGATAGATTATTTTTCTGTAAAGTTTTTGTGCACATACAGTTACATCAGGCGATATACATAAAGGCTAATAAAATGTAGCAGATATATCTGGAATTCAATGTCAAAATTAAGTTCAAGATGGTATTTTGGTTAATATTAAATTATAAAGAATTTATGATACACTAATTTTTGACCCTAAGAGCCATCTCTTTAGAAAGTCAGATGTTTTATAAATACCACTTTCTTTTCAAACTATATACACATAACATTTAAATTACTATTTCTTCCTTCTCCCTTTTGTTAAGAGCATGTTGATCTGAGATACAGCTTGCAATATAGATTTGAATTATAACTATTTGCTTATAAAATAATTTCCATATCTTAGATCTGTAGAATGACCTAAGGTCTATGGGTTGCAGTAAAGGATCTACAGAGAAGAACTGATTTCTGCCCAAAGGTTGTTTATTGAAAAAATGACATGTCTTTAAATGATTGTTAGAATTGTATCTTAAAAAGATAATTTTAAAATTTAAGAATAAAGAGTTAGAACATCAGTGTGTAATCCTGACAAAAAATTTATTTGAAAGTATCTTCCTGGAAGGATTGACAACTAGTACTGTCACTTTTTATATCTTCCATGGTTTTTTACTAATGGATCTTAATAATAATAGTTATTAAAGATGGTAAATCTGGCATTTTTTGGACAACCTAAAAAACCTTTTTGGAAGATATCAGGAGTCTTTAAAGAACACTTCTGATGATAAATCAAAGTGACACATAAGCTACTTATCGTCAGATACCATTCCATTAATTAATTAACCAATAATTATTTTTATTCCTTCAAACTCCTGAGCCCAGCATACTCAAGTATATTTCAATAAATACCTTTTGACTTTATTTCTGGAAAGATTATCCATCATTAATGGAACCCCCCTCCCCAAATGGGAGAGAAAGAAATAAAAGAAAGAGTTCCTCTGAATGACTTTATTTATACCTCTACATTTTGGCATGCTACAGACTATCAAAATTTCACATGGTCTACAGACTTAAAATAAGATGCATATTGTGGCTTTGAAAATATTGACATTATCTGCTATAATATAGAGCAAAATAGCTCTAATAAATTAGTTCACTCCCTAGCCCCCTTTGATAAGTGTTGGAAGTTGAAAGACTATTCTTTGATCTTGTAACATCCTGGGAAACTTGAGTAATTGGTGGGGAATAATCCTTGAGTAATTGGCGGGGAATAATAAAAAGATTTTGTCATATCCAGTTTCACTGTCATGAGCTCATATTAATGCTGAATTTAGAAAAGAGAAAAAAATTCCTCTACTTTGCTATAGTAAACTCACCCATGTCTAAGTATGCTTTGATTCTATTTATAGATTTTTAAAACCAGGTAATACTATATAGCAAACACATAGAAATGACATACCATAAATAATACATTATTAAATTTTGAAGGTAGAAAAATATATCATACTATATAATTTGGGAACTGTCTATCAATTGGAGCATTTTATAAGCCAAGAGCTTATAAGCAAATCAAATCAGGAATGTAACATTTATTCTAGTGAGAAAATTTAGTTAGGGAGTGAGAGTAAGGATATGTGGTGGTCTAGTACAATTTCAATTGGGTCAACACAATACCACCAACACTGTTAAAGGTTTTTAGTTGACCCCTTTAAAATAGTAGCAGAACATTGTCTAGAAAAGTACTAAACTCAATTAAAACTAATAATGTGGTATTACGTTACAGAATAATTCTAACTTTTCGCATTAAACATTTTACATGTTCTAGAAACTTTTTTTAGATCCCCTTAAGAAAAAATTCCCCCAAAGCTTAGCCATACTGCAGGCTTTTTTTCACAGCTCAGCTTAAGTAAATTATTTTAACTTAAGAGATGTATAATAAAGAGCTGGATATAAATGAATAACATTTAGTGAATACACATCTGAAATACAATGTGATTTCCATCTGCTTCTTTGGAAGGTAATTTACCATTAGGGATGACAACCATGTCAGGTGTTACTTGCTTCAGTCAGAGAAGTACACCTGGCAAATTCATACTATTAGGTCAGAGCCACAGTGATAAGGGGAAAAATAAGTGTGATATCCTGCAACCTCATCGGTATGCAATATTCATAAATACTGCATCTATTACTAAACACAAGCTAGAATCAGAAAACTCCTTGACTCTATGGGAATTTTAGCTGAAACCCCTTCTCAAGATCTGGGATCAGACATTGTCAATGTCCCCCAAATGAATCTCACCCTATTGCCATTCTCTTTTGGAAGTTTCCTCCCAGGAAACATTTCCTAATTTAAGGATTATTTTCTCTGGTACAATTATTAGGGTAGGAGTGCTTGGTGGCTTGTGAGCTTGTGAGCTGTGTAGTCAGATTTGTTTTCTTTAATGGTTAATCGTGGTCTGAGTATATGGTTGGGTTTTTATTTCTGTTATCTGTGAAATTGACCAGGTGCTTGGCACATATTTCAAGTTCTTCCTGAATACGTGAGCTCATATTACATGTTTAGTCCTTTTTGAATATTGCTTGAGCTTCATGGCAATCTAAATAGAGCAAGGAGAATTGTGCCAATAGCCATCTCAAGGCCATTTGTTTTGCATGACTGAGTTTAATTTATTCCATGTGCTGGAGATACAGGACCGGCCACACAGAAGATCCTGTCACTGCACCGGCACAGGAAAGACCCTGTCTTAAGTTTTAGCTCATTGTCGTGATTCCATTAGTATTAACGTAAGAAAAAGGTTTACAAATGCTAGGAGAGCTCTTGCCCAACAGCACTGTTTACATATTTTTCTCATTGTGGTTTCCCACCTCACTCCACAGTTACTTAGCACCTAGTTGTGCATCATAAATCATGATGTTAGTTTTTGGTGGTGGGAGTTGAAGCTGAATCACCACAGCTGAGAACAAGTGTGCTGGGATCCTGGCTACTTCGTATATTGTACCGTACTGTACTTCGTGATTCGACTTCGGGCAGTACTAGGGGAGGCAGATCCAAGGGTCTGGCTAAAGTGATGGTCAGAGGAGCTCCTCATGTGGCCAATGGTGGCTGTGCCCCCCATGCTGCTACTTAGGCCCCCACCTCCTCCCAGGCTGCTCAACCCAATGCCACCACCACTTCCTCCAGCTGCACTGCCAACCAGGCCACTGCCTCCAGTCATCCCAGCTGGGCCACTAATTCCACTTATGCCAGAGCCGGAAACAACCCTCTCTGTCACAATCACATTTTGGGCATTTGATAACTCAGGGTGTATACTTAGATTGCCCATCATGCCAGAAGCTGGTCGGATTACTCTTTCTGTCACTACCACATTTGATGACTCTCTAGGATCAGGCATGGTCAAAGAGGTGGGTAGACTTGAACTTGGTGCTATTACCCTTTCTGTCACGATAATGTTTGACCCATCTCTCAAGTCAGGCATCTCCAACATTCCATGCAAATCAGTGCCAGAGATTGGGCCGACCACCCTCTCGGTCACCACTACATTTGATGCATGTCGATTATCATGAATATGGACAGAGGGCTTCAGAGTGCCAGAGGTGGTGTAAGACTCGGTCACAGTAACATTACCATAGCCCAGAGGATCAGGAATGGGCATAGGATGCTGTACACCAGGTCCAGAGGGGTAGGTACTCTCAGAAATGACTGTAGTGGTGCCAAAATGTGGGGAGATGGGTGGATGTCCACCAGTGATGGGGTCTGTTCCCTGCTGAGGGCAGATCGGTTCGGTGCTTTCAGGTGGCCAAGAAGGATCAGGGTCTGGATATGGTTCAACTTCTTTTCCTAGGCTGATATCTGCCAACTTCTTAAATTTAGGCCCCAGTGTATCCAAAAAGCTGTCATCCAAGTCTTCTCCAATGAAGCTACAACAACCCACAGATCCAGCAGGGGAACCTACACCTTCAATGTCATATATGAGCAAACAGTCATTGGATGGGCGTCCTTCATCTTCATCTGCATAAGCATATGCTTTCTGGATTAATAGAGGAAAGAGAAAAATGAGATTATGGATACATATTTAACAATAATAGAAGTCTTGATCATTCTTTTTTCTTCTGGGACATTACCAAAGAGGAACCTAGAAGGCAAAATTCTGACCTCTCCTAGAGATGCATTAAAAATCATTGTATAATTTCCTGAAAGAATTTGGTTAGAAATTATTTTAACTGTAAGCCTGTTAATACATTTTGATTTTTAAAATTTATTTAAATGGACTTTCCTCATCACAGTGCACTTTGGATACAAAAGCACATGCAAAAAATCACATGAATTATTTTGTAACCATGTTAGGAGGTACTTAAAAGTACTGTACAGGAAGTACACCAAATTGTGGGGGGGGGTTCTTTTCTTTTTCTTCTTCTTCTTCTTCTTCTTTTTTGTTTGTTTGTATAAAAAAGGTAACTCGTAGTTGATTTGGGTTCATTTGGGATTGCACTTTCCTTCCTCCAATGAAGTGAATGTGGTGGCTCTATAAAGATTTATTTCAGTGTAACTTTTTCAGTAAAAAAGAACATTTGAATTTGGGTCTAAGCCATTTTGGGATTCAGAACTGAAAGTTTTTAAAAATAGGATCTCCTTCACACACACACACACACACACAAAAAAAAATAAAATAAAATAAGGGTGCCTGGGTGGCTCAGATGGTTAAGCATCTGCTTTCAGCTCAGGTCATGATACTGGGGTCCTGGGATCAATCCCACATGGGGCTCCCTGCTCAATGGGGAGCCTGCTTCTCCCTCTGCCTCTCTCTCTTTCTCATGAATAAGCAAATAAAATCTTTTTTAAAAAATAATATGAACAGACACTTCTCCAATGAAGACATACAAATGGCTATCAGACGCATGAAAAAATGTTCATCATCACTAGCCATCAGGGAGATTCAAATTAAAACCACATTGAGATACCACCTTACACCAGTTAGAATGGCCAAAATTAGCAAGACAGGAAACAACATGTGTTGGAGGGAATGTGGAGAAAGGGGAACCCTCTTACACTGTTGGTGGGAATGCAAGTTGGTGCAGCCACTTTGGAAAACAGTGTGGAGATTCCTCAAGAAATTAAAAATAGAACTTCCCTATGACCCTGCAATTGCACTACTGGGTATTTACCCCAAAGATACAGATGTAGTGAAAAGAAGGGCCATCTGTACCCCACTGTTTATAGCAGCAATGGCCACAGTTGCCAAACTGTGGAAAGAACCAAGATGCCCTTCAACGGACGAATGGATAAGGAAGATGTGGTCCATATACACTATGGAGTATTGTGCCTCCATCAGAAAGGATGAATACCCAACTTTTGTAGCAACATGGATGGGACTGGAAGAGATTATGCTGAGTGAAATAAGTCAAGCAGAGAGAGTCAATTATCATATGGTTTCACTTATTTGTGGAGCATAACAAATAGCATGGAGGACATGGGGAGTTAGGAGAAGGGAGTTGAGGGAAATTGGAAGGGGAGGTGAACCATGAGAGACTATGGACTCTGAAAAACAATCTGAAGGGTTTGAAGAGGTCAGGGGGTGAGAGGTTGGGGGAACCAGGTGGTGGGTATTAGAGAGACTGCATGGAGCACTGGGTGTGGTACAAAAACAATGAATATTGTTATGCTGAAAATAAATTAAAAAATGATTAAAAAAATAAAATAAATAAAAATAGGATCTCCTTCAATTCAAAGTTAAAGCCCATAGACATGTGCACTTTTTTCCTTTTTTTAGGATTTTTTTTTTAATTTATTTCAGAGAGAGAGAACCACCACCAGGAGGGGTAGAGGGAGAGAGAATCTCAAGCAGATTGCCCGCTGAGCATGGAGCCTGATGTGGGGATCCATCTCACAACCCTGAGATCGTGACCTGAGATGAAACCAAGAGTTGGACGCTCAACCAACTGTGCCACCCAGGTGCCCCAAACACATGCTCTTTTATTTCATTTTTGTCGTTCATAATATTGGATTATAAATTTTCAGGTTAAGTATCAGAAATATCTTTATTAGCAGACCAATTGTTGCCATTTCCTTCAAAAATATTTTTGAGTCCTTACTATTTGCCGGACACTCAATTAGGAACTTGGCAATGCAGTAGTGAACAAAAGCAGACGGAGTCTCTCTCTCTCATACGGCTTACCTTTTAGTAGGAGGAGACAGGCAATACATAAACATATGTGTCAGGAGGTGGTAAGCTCAAAATGAAGGGATAGAGTGGCCATGGGCAGCCTCTCATAAAGTGATGTTTGATCAGAGGTTAGAATAAAGCATCAGGGTGAGGAAAGTACATAGAGTGTACCGGACAGAAGGAGTCATAGATGCAAAAGTTTTGAGGCAGAATTGTACTCTTTCATGAAAATAACATTCATTTGTAGGAACATGAATGGGAAGCATTCCTGTGGATTCAGCAACAGATTTCTTATTATAATCTACTACTATTTGAAAGGCTTTTATCACTGTTTAATTTCAAGATATCAGCCATCCTCTAAAGCAATAGAAGAGTTAAAGAAGGTATTTTAGGCCAGGATGTAGAGGGATGCAGATCTATTAGAGACAGTTTCAGAGACAGGAAATCTCTGAAGGCTTAAGTACCATCTGATGTGTAGCCACAGGCAATTTTGTCTCTACCTGAGGATGGCAAAATTAATTTTGCTGGTTCTTAGAATATTCTGGAAGTGTGCTACGGTTCTTGAACCCACACTTATGGAGTGTTTACTATGTGCCTGGAACTGAGCTAGATACTGGCAACATGATACAGAGAACATATGGACAAGGCAATAAAAACCATGGTAGACATATAAACATATTTTAGCAGTGATAGGTTCTATAAAGTTTATACACAGAGCACTACAGAAATACAGACAAAGACACATCAATTCTATTTTGGATGTGAAGGTTATCAGTAAAAGGTTCAGAGAAGCAGTGATATTTGAATTGAGTCTTTAAAGATGAATAGGATTTTATGATAGAGATGATGGATAAAAGCATCCTGGGAGGGCACAGCGTAGGCAAAGGCATGGTGTGAATGAGGCAAAGACACTTGGTATGTGGGGTTGGTGGTAAGGAGTAATTGGAAATGAGGGAAGGGATCATTTTATGAATAATCTTAATTGTCATATTAGGGAGTTAGGACTTCATTGCCTTAGACAAATAGAGCTGGGAGTCATTGGCTATTTTTAAGTAGAGGAGTAAAGTGATCAGTTCAGAATTACAGAAATGTTATCCAGCAGCAGTATGACTGTCAGGCATAGACTAGAGGCTGGGAACATGCCAAAGCCCTGTCGAAAAATAGTGGCAGCCTGGAGTAGAGCTAGAGGCACAGATGGAGAGGAAGTCATGGCACTCGAGACCTTACCTGACAGAAGTAGCTTTCCATGAAGTTCATATTCAGACCTCCTTCTCTACATTCTCTCATAGAATTTCTTCTTAATGTTCCAGAATATTCTTGACATATCTCAGGTATTCCTGAAGTTTTAACTCCTTCTGTTAGTTCAAATCCTGTTGTTCTTTCTCCTCCTCCCAGATCTTGCATTTCTCTGCCACCATACTCATTCGTGTAAACCCCTAGAAGTGTTGATAAAATTAAGTACACTTTCTATATAGCGTATTGTAGACCCAAAATAAATAACTTTCTATAATGTACGGTTTCATCATTGAGGTAAAACAAAGGTGATACATAAAGGGCTATACATACAATATGGAGTTCAAAATAATATTAGTAATCAGTTTGTTCATTTGTTAGTTGTTTGATGTTAATTATTTATTGCTAATTGTGTGTCGTGCTGGAAGGGGGGGCTGCATAGAGGTTATAAAAACCTATGCTTTAGTGAGTTTGATTTCAAATTGAGGGAGTTTTGGGGGGGAAATACCCAAATTCTAAAAGTTAAATAGTATAAGAATATCCCCAACATATTGGAAGCACAGCACTTCCAGAGGAAGACCTGAGAACCACTGGCTTTCAGAGAAGCCATGGCTGTGGTGATGGGAAAGGTTGGCACCGAGACTCTTGGGTTTTCACTTGAATGTGATGGGTGACTAGAAGCCCATTACCATATTCAAGGCAAGTTAGACAAAATGATGGTTCAGTCCGTGGAAGAGCCATGGATAGGGAAAGTATTGGCAGTGGGATAGGTGCCCTATGGCTTTAGTATTTCAAAGATCTTGATTTTGGGGGACAATATGTTTTTCATCCTTTTATGACTCTGGTGTGTCTCATTGTGCTTTGTTCCAGATTTGTGTAAAGTCTAGTAGATGTATTGAGGGGATAAATGCAGAAGTAAATTCTGATGGATCTGATGATTTGACAAGTCTTGAGAACAGATTGGATGTCAAGAATAGGGAGATAGAAGAGTCAACCAGGGCTGCTGCTCTTGAGGTGAGAGGATGTTGATGTTGTTAACACAAATGGAAACATCAAAAAGAGAAATAGATTTAGAGACCAGTGTGTCTAGTAGTTTGAGTAAGGTGCAGTCCTATAAACATTCCTGTGCCTCTCCTATTCTAAAGTTCAAAATTGGAATGGTAACAAATTTGAAAAAGACTGGGAGAAAAAGAAGAGAATGACTAACTTTGATCACTCTAAGAAAAAGCAAAACAGTACAACTGTTTTCAAAGATACAAAAAGTTTAAAAGAAAAAAAAAATTTATTAGTATGGTAGTTATCCCCTTGCTGTGAAATTCAAATTGTTCCCTTGTTTCTGCCTGCAAACTGGTCTAGACCCCTGTTTCTTGTTTGTTTGTTTTAAGCTTTTATGTATTTATTATTATTATTATTATTATTATTATTATTATTATTTGACACAGAGCAAAAGAGAGAGACAGCAAGAGCAGGAATACAAGCAGGGGAGGGAGAGGGAGAAGCAGACTTCCCATTGAGCAGAGAGCCCGATGTGGGGCTCGTTCCCAGGACCCTGTGATCGTGACCTGAGCCAAAGGCAGACACTTAATGACTGAGCCACCCAGGCGTCCGTAGCCCCTGTTTTAAGGCATATTGTCATTACAGTCTTGGTTAACCATGTGCAAGGAGAAACTCTACCCCCTGCACATGGCCTCAGCCGACAACTTGCAAAGATTCTGATAGTGTTTCATTCACTTACTTCCAGTTTAAGAAACGGGACAAAATTTTTCAGATCAGCTTTCTGCTCATGCTGAGAATGGATGCAGTTTTGTTTTTTGTTTGTTTATTTGTTTTGTCATGATAGCAGCTCAAGTCAGAGTGGGTTTGTATGCAGATAATTTTTTTTAAATGGATACAGTTCAGTAATAGAAATATTTTTATCTTCCTTGTGATTTTCTTAATAACAATTTCTTTTCTCCAACTTATTTTAAGAATACAGTATATTATATATAATATACATACAGTATATTATATATATATGTGTATATATACACACACACACACACACATATATATATATATGACATACAAATTTTGTGTTAACCAACTGTTTATGTTAACAGTAAGTCATCTGGTAGTTAAGTAGTAGTTAAGTTTTGGGAGAGCCAAAAATTAATACTTGTATTTTTGACTGATGGGAATCAGCATCCCTAACACCTGTGCTATTGAAGGGCCAATGGTATTTTTTTTTCTGATAAATAATGTTTGCTCTATTAGACAGAAATCCTGGACCAGAATTGACTTGTGGTTCTTCTCTCCTACTTATAGAGTCCTGATACAGTCATCTCCTAAGTACTCTCTGATGATTGAGGAAGATTTTAAAAATTCAACATATAAAAATAGTAATTCCTGGAGATTTTTCTGTTACCATTTGATCTGCAAATTAGTCATTTAAAAATGAATGAAAGAAACAATGTTAAAGACAAGATAATTGAGAAATAGCAAGGTATGCAGGGTTAGAGCAGAATTCCTTCCTAGTCATTTGAGCTGTTAAAATTAAAAAGACAAAACAAAACCTTCTTACCTGAAGTGTCAATGCATTCAATTAGATTTGCATCAGGAGGTGATATGGGTGGTACACAGACAGTGTCCTAAAAGACAAGAAGCATGTCCCCATTTGTAGTGGCTCTTTTCTGTCTATCCTTTTGCATTGGGTTTCTTCTCAAAATAGAATCAGATTCTAAAAGAATACTATTTACAAAACTTCTGAAATCCATTTAAAACTTGCACTTCATTTGAGAAAGCCTTTTCTGATGACTTCCATCTAATTTGGGTGTACCTTTGACTTCTCTTCTTCATTTTCCCACCAGCTATCCCAGAACGAAGAATAGCGTAGACTGTGAGGGGTCACCACCATCTGGTTCATGTGCACGAGAATGAGTTTCGGGGACTACCAAAGGCCATTTCTTACAAGTTAGCACTTACTGGAGGCAACTGTGGGCCTTCTACTGCCCATGTGTGAAGTGCTCCTTCTGAACATTCAGGGACAGGTTCAAAGCCAGCTCCCCCGCCAGGGGCACCTCCACATTCACAGCACATCAACAAAAATGGGACCACTGATGGTGAAAGGAAAGGAATACTGGAATTAGCAGTGGAACCACATTAAAATAAAACAACTTTCTCTTTTATGATTACTTTTGAAACCCTAATACCATTGCATTTGACTTCAAAATTCTTACGAAAGTTTCAGAAAACAAATTGAACAATGGTCAGATACCAAAATCAATATGAGCTTCAGTATACTAGACTGCAATCCATTTTGATTTGTTATATAGTATTCAAATGACAAGTAGTATTATGTCATTAAAACAGATGAGTCTTTTCACTGTCATTTCTCTGAAAAATATTAAAGGAGACAGGAGAGTTGCTGAGGACAGGCCATATGTTTGAGTCTTTGTGTTCCATCCTCCATGGCTTTACTTTTTTTCCTTTCAGACATGCCTGTCTTTTTAATTTTCACGGTAAATAAAATCTTACTCATGCCTCAGGTAATTATTCTCTCTATTACTTTCCTCTACATGGATTTTTTTTTTCTTGAAATTACTCCTGCACAAATGGAAAACATTACACTGGTTAACAATGTCTTTCTGTTAATCAGTTGGGTTTCCTTATTCACCTAAATACATGTCTAGCCCAGAGACTTTTATATAATACAATCTTGGTAAATTATTTGGAATGAATGGATGGATGAAGGAAAGTATGTGTAAGTTGATGTGACGAAGGAAGAAAAGAGACAAGAAGGAGGTGAGGTAGAGAAGAAGGAACATAGTAAGGATGGTAATAAGGGAGGGATGGTAAGAGATGAAAAAAGGAAAGAAAGGAGTGAAAGAATCCTGTGCATTTTGCTTTCTTGAAGATTTGCTAGGCTTAGAGAAATCTTTGAATGTAGAGGTGTTTGACCCCAAATACATAATTTTTCAATCTTTTATTAACTATGCTACCCAAAGGCAATCAACAATATAAAAAACAAGCTCAAAGTGAAAGTCATATATTACTTGCAGTAGAAATTGTCAACTCCTGGGTAGTTAAGTTACTTTTATAAAGTACTTAATTCTAAAGTTTTAAAATGTTGGTTAATACTCAATATGGCAAACACAGTGAAACTAGAGAATGATCTCTTCTCATGTATTTTATGTTACATTCTGCAAGTTTGCTTTCTCTGTGTAACCGTTTCTGATTGTTTGGATCCTCTCTGACTGTCTTCTTCACTCAAATAGCAATCCGAGCTTGCCTGTTACGGCACTTTCCCATGGCACGGAAATCGAATGCAAAGAAGTTTTTATCCTCCACTGCACTGTAAGGGGTCAAGAAGCTTGACTTTTTTTCATCTTATAGACTCAACAGTAAACAAGCATTTCTTGACAAGGGCACAAAATAAGATTTGGTAAAGTATATTTTATCAAAGGATCAAAAAGCTTATCTCCTCCCCATAATTTCAGGGGGAAATACGAATAAGATTGTTGAAAGTACTTACGTCCTAGGACCAAGAATCCCATGATGAGCAGTCCAATGCCGGCAGGACCAAAATGGACATTATCTGAGAGATTTGCTCCTAAATTTCCATCACCCAAAGCCTCGGTCCCAGTGCCATATTCAGTGGAAGTTTTGTCACCTGTGTCAGTACTGGTTCCACCACCTCCATTCATATTGTCAGTGGTACTTTCATCAGTACTCCCACTGCCTCCACTAGGACCCTCACTGCCTCCACTAGTTCCGGGATTGGTACCAGTATCTTTTCCATTCTCAGCCCAGCCAGAACCTTGAAGGTCAATATTAATGGTTCCAGTACAAGTTCTTTGAAGAGTATCTGCAACAAGATTCAAAAGGGAAGAAATATTTAACGCAGGCTGTGTAATACTCATTGAACAATACAAAACCACTTTTTTTTTTTTTGCATCAGTAACTTATTTCAAGGTCTTTATTCTCATCAATTCAGTAACTTCCCAAATCATCCTTTGTTTGTGATTCAGTTTTTAAATCAAACCATGATGAGGATTAGTGCTCCTGAAAGACTGTGCCATATGTTGAGAAGCATAAACAGTAAATGCCATGTCATATGTATGCTGTCATTCCCCTTAGATAAATAAGTCAGTCATATTCCACATACTATTTAAATGAATGGAAGCTACGTGTATTTGTATTTTATATGTAGTAGTTAGTTGCTTTATTTTCTTCTAAATTACCTTGACAGGGATTCCTTCATCACATCTGCACTATCCACTTCCCATAAGATTTGAGTATATGATAATCTCTGATTAGGAACTGCTCAGTGCAGAAAACCCACAATACTGAAAGTTCAGGTATGATTTTTTTTTCTCCTTCAGAGATAAGATTTCCAAAGTCTAGAATCTACCTGTAGAGCTATTAGGTCAGAAATGTGTCATAACTCTGAGACTCTGGCTGGACATTGGTGATTATAATTCTTACTACAGTGTAGGAATGATACTGATGGAATATTATCCTTTTCTGTAGCCCAATTAAAATTATTTATATGTAGTTATGTCTGAAGCGGTTTTTTAAAATTCTATGATAAACCTTCCAATTTTATTGAGATACTATAAAAATGAAATAACGTTGTATAAACTTAAGTACATGGTGTGTTGTTATGATATACTTATATATTGCAGTATGATTTCCATCTAAGTGTTAACCAACATCTCCATCACCTCACATGACTACTATTTTGTTTTTTTGTGAGAGAATATTTAGGATCTACTATCTTAGGAACTTTTAAAAATATAGCAACTGTACTGTCATTAATAATCATAAGGCAAGACTCTGCATTAGATCCCCAGAAATTAATCATCTTGTGACTGGAAGTTTGTAATTTTTAACCAACATCTCCTCATCTCCCCATCCCTTTAGTGGTCAGCCTAATTTTAATTTTGTTGGTTTGGAAAAGTAATATAAGTATGCTGCTTCCAAATTGTTCACACAAAGTTGTACATCAGCTTTCCAAAGATTACATAAAGTTAAGTTAACTTTGCTTCTGGACCAATTATTTGAAAGTAACTTAAGAATATAATTTTAAAATTTCATTTATTGAGATTAATAAGAACTAACGTTGAGTACCAGCACTCTTCTAAGTGCTTTACATCTAATAACTTCTTTAATATCTCTAAATCCATAATGTTAGTGTCCCATTTTATAGAAGAAAAGGGTGAGGAATAAATGGGTAAATGACTTCTCTAAAATCCCATAGCTACGAAGTGATGGTACAAGATACCAACCGAGTCTCACTCCAGAACTTGTGGACTTGGCACTGAGTTATACTGTCTCTTATATTATTAAAAATTTGATTCTATAATACCCAGTATGATTTTTTTTGTTGTTGATGAGAAAGGGTTATCTTAAAATACAATTAAAACTTTAATTTCTGAGTGTATATATAATTTCCTCCAAGTTAAATTGATTTCTTACCATCTATAGATAAAATTGTTCCTTGGTATTTTCCCCCAAGCATGTTATATTGTTCCCTGGTAACTCTGTTTCTCAAAGTAATTATGCCTGTTTTTGAGTCAACATCAAGTAGGTTAGCTGGATTATTTCCCATTACATATCTGTATTTGAAGAAACAATATGAATTAATGTTAGCTTTTGAAAGAGAGAGAGATTTTGATTATAAAACACGTTTCAAGTCAGTGGTTATAACCTCTGGATATAATTTTCAGTTATTAGGGACTTTATTATTTTTTTCAAGGCAAGATGGAATGATCTCGTATGCCCACTTGGGTGTCACAATAATCTTTGACTCTTGCAGTCTCCTTTTCGTTTGGTTTTGGCAGCATGAGAACTCTCCCAGAAGATAGGGGCGCCTGGGTGGCTCAGTGGGTTAAAGCCTCTGCCTTCAGCTCAGGTCATGATCTCAGTGTCCTGGAATCGAGCCCCACATCAGGCTCTCTGCTCAGCAGGGAGCCTGCTTCCCCCTCTATCTCTGCCTGCCTCTCTGCCTACTTGTGATCTCTGTCAAATAAATAAATAAAACCTTTAAAAAAAAAAAAAAAGAACTCTCCCAGAAGACCCAGAACCCAGGACCTCCTGGGCTGCTTCTAATTCTGAACTGTTCTCTTATCAAAGAAGTTACTTCTCCATCAGCTTGGGGCTTCATTCTCTCCCTATTTTCACTCTCCCTCCCCATACACACGATGACTTTATAGGACTTCTTTTGAATTTTGTTCTCATTTATGTATGTGTTAAACATTGGTTGGATAACTGTCTCAAGTACTGTGCTAAACTCAAAGGCCTAGAACTTTGAAAGGAGCAGAGTTGGGTGGGGAGGGTGGGATGGTCTGCCCTCAGTGAACTCACATCTGTGGAGTACAAGAGAGTTTATCAATATCAAATGCTGATTAAAGTGAAGAGAGTAACTGAAATGGGCTAACTCTAATTGATTTCAATCTGGGCGCACTTGCAATGGGAAAATCAGCCCATAAAATCTTTTGGGGGAATAACCATGATATGTGGTAATCAGCTAATTGGCCAATAAAATACATAAATACAAAATGTCAAACTTTCAAGATTCAATATTTTCCACATTTTACACCTTCACACTTTTTGCATTTTACTTTTTGCCCATTTTTTTTTGTATTTTCTTAAGGTCAAAGCTGTAAATTAAATAGCAATTCAGTAGTTAGTATTTTTTATGATTGAATGATGGTTTCAAAAATAATGAAAAATATTTTAATTCAGATACTTAAAATTTCTAAAAAGAACATGTATACTTTAGTTCAATGTATGGTAAAATTATTTGGAAAATGTTAGTCTTACCTAACAGTTGTTGAAGCACTACCTGTGTCCAGATCAGTGGCTATAAAGTCTCCCACTTTATAATTCTGTCCCATGTTACTAGTTACCACATATGTCTTTGAACCTGGACGGAACACCGAACCTTCAATTACATTTGACACAGCCACAGTGATTGCTGTTGCTGTGAGTTTATACTGAGACATAATTGAATGGTGAAATTCAGCTTTATTTCTGACACCGAGACTTAGTTGCATTGTCTGCATAGCTTCGTAATCTAGGGGCTAGAAAATACAGAGTGGGATAGTTTTACTCTTAAAATAAAAACATTCTGGAAGAAAGACAAACCCTTTCATTATAGGCAAGAGAACTCCCACATTTCTTTCTTTAATTAAATATAAATACATACAAATACACACTCTATCCTTTATCTTTAATGCAACAGAAATGCATGAAAATATAGTAGGAAAAAAGTTGGAAATATATGACATGAGTTTTAATTATCCATCAAGGAAGTTAAAAACATAATATAGATGGTCAAATCCATGCACTTTATAGTGCAAAGATAGTTTATTTTAACTTCTGTCACTTCATTTTTCTCACAAAGTAGCTCTCTTTATTACAAAGTATGGGCCGACTATATAGTACGTTCAATCATTTGACTGGTTTTATCTGTAAAGAACTATTTAGAAGAAATTTTACTTCTGTAAATATGACTTCCTTCAATAAGCCCAGTAATAGAACAAAGTATAAAAATAATAAAATCCTTATTTTCTTCAACATATTCTAGAAAAAAATTATTTCCAGTAGCTATTTTTATTATGAAGTTGGTGTCAATATCTAGTACTTAACGAAATTCACAAACAACTATGCATTATGCCCATAGGTTCCAAATATATTTTTCTAAATTTTCATGTGAGAGTAATTTAGATGACTCTCTATTCACACATCAAACTCTCCACTTCGTAAAATCTTCAATCTTGGCTCCAATGTTGGCTTTATTTGTTATTCCAAGAACAGCTATAAAATCATGTATACATATACATCACACACACGTACGCATAACAGAGGAATTAAGATATGATGTCATGCTTGGGAGAAAAATCAACATTACATCCATTTCACAGATAGAGATATTGAGGATAAATAGACTAATTTTTTAAAGTAATATAGTAGTTTGGGGTAAAATAGTTTAGGACGGTTTCCCCAGCATGGAATCACAGCTAGAATAGTGATGACGGTATGACCTTAATAGCTAGAGAATTTGAATGTCATCTATACCACTTACTAGCTATCAGAACTTGAATGGGGTACAACTCTCTCTTGTATTTATCTGCAATATGGGCATATAACCTAATTTTCTGGGATGCTGTGAGGGGTAAACTAAAGCATCTGCACCCTGCCTCAGGAAATGGAAGCTATAGCCACGAGAACACTTTATGAAGACATGAAATAAATGATCCCACATTCCTCTGGGAACAGAATTCCTTAGAAGTCTATTTCCCGGGACTATTCTGAAGAAAGGAAATAACTAAAAAAGGACTGAATTCTACCATAAAGAATACATATTGCATGTTTTACACACAATCCTTGCATAACTATTGCAGATTAAAAAAAAAAAACCAGACTCAAGTCTTACAGTACAGGCTGAAATCTTCTCCATAAGCTCCTTATGAGTCACTTTTTTCCCCCTCAAATCTTAGAGGCAATTCTACCTCTGGTACATGAGGTGGATCATTAATGTAGGGGGGACATAGGAAGATTCTGTTGATGTAGACCAAATCTTTGTGACTTGGACAAATCTCCAGGGTATTTATGTTCATAATAAGCCCTGGTCAGCAGCTGCAGGGAGATGGGAACGTGATAATCCTATAATTATAGTAATTTAATTTTAATTTTATAAAAACACACCAGAGAACTAAACAACTTTTAATTTACATGAGAAATATTCTCAGTGCATACTAATTAATGTATGATGTTGACAAAGACACATTTTTTAAGGCCATGTGAAATCTGCTTAAAAAATATTCTTCAAACATCTAAAACAAAACTTTAAGCATAAAATAAGATTCATTTTTAGAAATGCTCTTAATTTATATGATCTGTGAAGGAGTAGTGTATTAATAGAATAGAGTTTCAAGTTTAATGCCTGTTTTCATAAGTGGAAAAATTGTTTAAAAAATTGTTAAAAAGCTCTCTAATCTTATATCATTTTAAAACACGGTAATTTTTATTCTTTCACCCCCTGAATTTTGTGAAATATTAACATTTTATCTCAAGATCAACATTTTGAAAAAGACCAAGAAAACAAAATATTTAGGATAATTATACCATACCTTAATAACCTTTAAAATTCCCACATTTGTCCTTTCATTCATTTCTATGTCAAACCAACCTCCCTCATTTCCGGAGATAAAGAAAATTACTGCCACCCAATTAGCTGAGTACTCTTCATCCAAATCGATTACTCTAATCTGGAGCAAATTTGAGTGTAGGGCATTTTCTTCAATACTAATGGAATACTGAAATGAGAAGCAAAAAAATCTTAACACCAACTGTGTGAGTGAGAGAACAACTACCCTGGACTTACAAAGGACGTTTAAAACTACTCATTATTTAGAAACAAGATCTGTGTTTATAAGCTCACATTTCATTATCCAAATACATTTATTTCTCCTACGTATTATATGAGCAAACACAAGGCAAAGTACGTGTCTACATTTGGGTTGTACACGACTAAAGATAACATGGACCTCTGTAAAAAGAATTGTTTGAACAAATTTTAGAATGTAATGAATTGACATTGTTAATTTCAAGGACAAGTACTTACGGAGGGCTGTTCCATGTATGGGATGTTATCATTAACATCGAGGATTCTAATGTTGCACTCACACTCTGCTGACATGCCATCTGCCCCACCATCTCGGTCAGAGCCTCTCACAGCAAGGGAATACTGGCTATATTGCTAAAAGCACACATTACAAAAAAAATTACAGTTGATCTAGACAATCCTTATTCTGTCTCATGAAAAGTTCTTTTAAAATGTTGGCTCAACATTTACTTAAATCTATGATCAAGATACGGGTAACACAGACTATTGAAAATCCACAGATCTCACATGAATCAATATAACTGTTGCCACCTCTATTTCCAGCAGTGGTTACCTAGCATCATTTAAAAGAAAGAACATGTTTGAAGGTCTCATGCCTTATTATATGTCCAGGGGTTGAAAAAGTTTATAAAGGGTAAAGTGGACCAAAATGCTTAGGAGGAGAGAGATTAAGGTTTACCAAGAATTTATGACATGAAATTTCCATACTGTCAATAATCAGCCCTAAAATGTGCAAGAAAAACAAAGAATGTAACAAATGGTTTACAGTTCTGGGCGGCAGTGGGTGGTGGGCTGGAACAATGGACTTATTGATAATCGATCTTCTTGATTCTACTCAATGATGCTTAAATTTGTAGAACTGGCAAAAGCAATGAAGCCTTTCCCAGACACATGCATGCACTCATCATTCAAAAATGTGGATATAACTTTAGAGGATTCATAGTAAGAGACATCTTGAGGTCTCTCCATGAACTCCAGGTTGAAAATATCTGCTTTGGTGGCTTGCTGGTAACTTTATTCCTTTGGTTTTTAAAGTTCTTCACCACTAAAACTCTTTAGACATTAAAGGACTCCCATTGGGCTCTTTAGGGAAGTTTGAGCAAGAAAAAGTTAATAGTCAATTTCTTCTGATGGTTATTTTCACACAAGTGAAAAAGGAGATATAGATAATTTAGGAACTGATAGGATTTGGATCATTAAAGAATGAAAAACATCTGATTTATTCTAAGCCTAGGAGTCATTAACAGGGGGATTGTCATTTCAAATTAACTATAATCATTAAAATAAAATTTAATTAAGTACAAATTCAAAAGTAACACTTCTTCATTTATATCCCTAAAATACTTACAGATCAGGTAAATCCTATCAATACTTTAAATGATGAAAAAGTTGATACTTTTATATTGAATAATGGGACCATATGTTATTAATAGAAACCATGCTGATTCTAACTTGCTAACAATCTCTAATTATTTTCTCATTTATAAATGAAAAGATTGGTCTAGATGTTACTCAGTTGCTATCCATCATTCTGATTCTGTGTTACATTTCCCAAAGTAATCAGGGGGGACTATCAGTAGGTTAAGAGAGAGGAAGGAAAAAGAAGAGTCCTGTTGTCAAATGAGTGTAGGATATTCTGGGTTAAAGAAAGAGAAACAAATTTCTTAGTTTGTAAGAATTCTTGGAGCTTTTACCATGTTCATGCATTGTGACTTGCCAAGATGGCTGACAATAACAATTCGTTTCTTAAATCTATTTCAATGTAGATCACACATTTTTTTTAAAATAGAGCTTCTACCTTTGCCTTATGTATATTGTGTATTCTCAGAATATAGTTTTCTTAAATTGAGGCAGATATTAAGTTTGAATTGATTGAATGAAAAATGACAGTTTAAAATGTATTTGAGGAATCCCCTTTTTTTTTTTCATTTTGAAGATTATTTCTTATGTCATTACCATTACGTGAAAAGGTTATATAATCATAACATATTGTTTTCTTTTTCTTTCTTTCTTAGGTACTCTTGCTTTTAGCATAACTTCCTTTGAAACTAACAAACCATTCAAAGAAAAAATAATTACCTCTCTGTCTAGAAAATTATTCATTGTTCGAATTTCTCCAGTGTTTCTGTTAATAATAAACATTGGTGAATCAGAAGGTTCCTGTCTTATGATCTTGAAGGCTATTTTTGAGTTCAAATTATTTGGTTCGTCTGCATCAGTAGCATTGAGTATCATCACCAGCGTATCTAGAAATCAAGGAAAATGGTTGCAAGTGGATAGTTTGCATTTTCGTTATAGTATAGTTTATTGCTTTTCTAACAAGGTGTTAGGGTTGGTTGGTCTATATAGTGTATGTGCTACCATTTTTCCATTCCTCTTCTTCAACATATCATTAGCTTAGCTCCTTTCTATACCTTTGCTTTGACAAAAACATTACATTTTTTCAGGAACTTACACATTACTGGTAGTTAGAAAACAAAGAAATGTTTTAACTCTGCCTTTTCTTTACTTATTCTAGTATAATCCTTTTTTTTTTTTAAAGGCTGCTGTGGTGAAATAAAATGATATTAAAGCTAGACCAACTCTTTCCCAACTATAGAACTTTCTAGCTCTATGATTTTGGCTTCAGTTTCCACATCTGTATATGGGCATGATAATAGCACTGTCCTCACAGAGTTCATGAGAGAGTTGAACAGTTTAATGAGAGAAACTCATAGAAAGTTCTGATTGGCTAATGTACACTCAATAAATGTACATTATTGTTCAGTTTTGCATGGTCCCAAGTGAAGTGCTAGGTAAACTATTAGGTTGAAAGAGATGCTTGTTTAACTACATATTTTATCTTATCCCTTATCTTTTCTGGGAATTTTATAAGCCATTTTGATGAAGGAAATCAAACTGGAACTCTCTACACTGAGTCTGTTTCAAGCACAATTGTCCTGTCTGTAAACACAAATGCAACAGAGTATCTCCCTTCTGCCTTTTATTTTCTCTCTCAGTCTTTGTGTGTGTTTGTGTAATTCACTTCAGCATTCTTTTAAAAATACTTTCAGTAGGCAATTAATTATGGCACATTCATACTGTAAAATCTAATGCAGCTATTAAAAGGAATGAAGACATTTCATTTCCTAATATGGAAAATGTTAAAAATATATTTAAATAAAGATGTACATTATGATTTGTATGTAAAATATCTTCCTATTTGTTTCCAAAAGTATGTTTATATAATCATAAAACATATGTAAGTAACTAATGATGGTTCTTGCCTCTTAAGAATTATACTAGGGAAAACAAAGAATGGATTTCTATTCCATTTTTACTTTCCATATTGTGTAAATTTTTACAACAAACATTTTTAAAATGATACTTTAGATTGGATACTTATTCCAAGTATAGTATAGTGTTTTAATGAATAAAAGTGAGATGGAAGGATTTCTGGAATTTATAAGAAATTTTACCACTCAAAGGTTAAGAGTAACTATGGTAAGTTGAAGTTTTAAATTCAAATGAGAAATTATCTCTATTTTTAATATATTTAGGACAATCTTCACTAGTGTGTTAGGCAGTTAATTTTCTCAAGTGACTGAATATTTAGCAGTTGAAATGTTGCCATTTACAGTAATCCATAAGGAGGACATGGCACCTTTAATCATCAATATCTTACAGGTAAATGCTCTGTCTAGTTTCTAGTTTTTCTGGTACCTCTCAACTAACTCCACTCGAGATAGTTTTCAACATGCATGGTGAGCCAAACAGGATTAAGTTTATAGTACATTACAAATACATAAAATTGGTAATTTGAGTAAAAAACAACCAAGACCTGTATTTATTTCATTGTATATAAAAGGGAAGATAATGCTTATTTAGTGTTTATTTACTGTTAACAAAAGCTCTTGAAGATTATGATCACAAAATAGATCACCTGGAAGTGATTTCTACTAGTGACTTTAAAGTAGGCTAAAAAAAAAAAAAAAAAAAAAAAAGGTGGGGGGCACCTGGGTGTCTCAGTCAGTTGAGGGTCTGGCTCTTGATTTTGGGTCAGGTCAGGACCTCATGGGTCATGGGATCTAGCCACGTGGAGGACTCTACGCTCAGTGGGGAGTCTCCTTGAAAATTCTCTCCTTTGACCTCTCCCCCCACTGCCACTCTCACTCTTGTGCTGTTTTTCTTTCTCTCTAAGATGAATAATTTTAAAAAAAGGTCAGTACGAACAGAAGTGGATGAGATTGTCCTTCAGAGCAGCCAGGCTGGGAGGATAAATCTCCTCCCAGTGCCCCTGCCACCACTGTACAAAGTATTTTTGGATTTCTCCCTAGGAATCTAAAAAAGAGCTGGTGTGTGAGTTACATGAGAAAACCTTTCTCATTTCTTTGGAGTTGCTCCTCGGGTATGCCAGATTGGAGCTGCCACCACAGTTGAAAGGAAAGCCATTATGGAGACTTCTCATGACTTTCTGTTCTGGATGCTTTTCTCTATTTAATCTCTTACATTCATGATGAAGTGGTACTTTCTTAGTTTGGCCTCCCTTTGCTTGGCTAAGAGTGATCTGGAAGTCAGTATATTCTTGTTTACTTAATAAGATGGATTACTTACTTGCATTAGAATTTTCTTCTATTTGTCCTACAAAAGTAGACATAGAAAATACTGGAGGGTTGTCATTTATATCCAAAACTCTGACTCTGAGCTCAAGAGGCCTCTCTAAATCTTGACCCAGTGAATTCAGAGCCCGGCAATAGATCTAAGACAGAAGACAAGAATAATTATTTGGTGCAACAGATATTTAAGTTCTTACTTTGTTTGGACACTATGCTAGGCACTGTGGGTAACCAAAAAAAGTAAGACGTATTATTTTCTACTACAATGTAGATATAAGCAGCACTTAAAATCAATAAGGAGAGCCAAACACAAATTCAAAATACCATTTGAGAAAAAGCAACATGATAAGTTATTTAAAAGAAGAATAGAAATACTATGACATCATAGGATGATGGATGACTGAGAAAGATCTTGAAAGAGAATTTCAGTAAGTGGAACTAGTATTTGGAAAGATGTTCCAAGTAAAGGGATTCATGTGAGGAAAGAAGTAGAGTAGTGAAAATACATTCTTTGAAATTGGGAGTAGGGGCTATTGGCTTTGAGGATAGGGTAAAGGAGAGTCACACGGGGGCTTCAAAGAAAGGTAGTTTTCACAAGCTACGTAGGAAACTATGCCGGTGTTCTTATTGTTGTTGTTGTTATTATTTATATATGAGGTGTACATAAGTATAATGTATGCTACTTTACCTGTGTGCTATATTCATATAAAAATTCAAGAAAAGCTACTAGGTTGGCATGCTGACCTCGAGAGTTTGTGGGTAAACATTGTCAGAGATAAGGCGGGAATATAGATTTGGAATAGAAGACTAAGGAATTAAAGTAGCTTAGGCAGTATAACTGAAAACACAAACACCAATTACTATTTGAACATCTTTGGGGATATGGATGGAAGGGGTTTTAATTGAAGAACATACAAGATCAAGGAAGGTTTTCTGTATGTCCTTTTTATTCTAAGTATTAAACAAGTGTTGACCATGATGATAAACAGAAATGGAAGCAGGCAAGGAGCAAGCAGAAAAGAGATGATAAAATTGATCAAATAAGGTTCTTGAAGAAGCATGTAATTATAGAATAATGGATCCCTCTTGGGGGTAAGCTGTGGAAAAAAGCAGAAAATTAATCCTGTTTTTGGATTTAAGGCAGAACATTTCTGAAGGAGGGGAGAGAAAATTGTGGGAGTGTGTGATGGAAGGCCTCAGAATTTCTAAAGAAGCTGGTCATCAGGTCAGCGGCTTAAAGTGGAAAGGAGGTTGAGTGTTTGGAGTTTTGTCACAGCTACTGTCAAGAACGGAAGTATGATTCAGTTAAGGATGGATTAGAGTATTCCCGAAGCACATCCTGAGCTCAGGTGAGCAGCAGCAATGTGGTTTTATAATAAAGTATGTTTACTTGAAGAAGCTCCCTTAGTAGCTCAAAAATCATCACTTGACATGAGAACCAATATTCTCAGCTGAATTAGAGAAAAAGAATGAAGAGTTAGGTCCTTGCCCTTCCAAACAGATATTCTAGCTTGCCACTAGGGACAGACCAGAGTCTCACATTTTTGCTGAGACGTTTCAGCAGGGCATTTCTCCTAATTTCTTTGTTTCTGTTGGGTCATGAGATGCTCATGAGTTGAGACAACCAAAAATAATATTGGGATTTCTGAAGTCAAATCAAATATGATCTGAGTTTAAGATACTCCAAAAATAATGTAAGCCTGAACCTATATAATGATGTGGAGCCCACTTACAATGAAAAACGGGGTGACCTCTCGATCAACTATAGATGTAATATTAATTTCACCAGTTTTTTGATTAATGACGAAGATTCCATAAGGTGGCTGATCAATTCCTACTCCGGAGATGCGGTATGTAACTTGCTGGTTTGCAGCACAATCTGAGTGAATCTGCAGAGAGAGTGCAGGTAAAAGTATTACAGAGAGCAAATAAAAAGTGCTAGGTTTGATTAACAACAACTACCTTTCTCAAGAACTGTCGAATGTGAGTACCTGTTATCTTTTGGGAAATGCTGGAAATAGTTATTTCTCTAGTTACAACTCTAGCATATTCCATATCTAGCAAGTTAACAAAAGAAATTCAATTTCTATTTCAACCAAATAAGAAAAAAAATCACCTTAATAAATCCAAGACTATGCCATCATTCATTCATTCATTCAACATTTACAATTGATTGTATTATTTTCCTGCTCTAGTGCTAGCACTGGCGTTAGAGTAGGGAGCTCTTTGCCTAAACTCTTAAGGAGTTTACCAGTGTTGTCATTATATAATTTTGATCCCTGACCCAAAGATTTTTAAAAAATGTAAAGTTTTAGAAGAAAATTTTAAGTAGATTTATGTAGATGACTGACTACAGAGTCCTCTGACTCTGTGTTGAAGCCCTTAATTCTGAAAATGGGGAGGATGTATTATCAGAAAAGTAAGGAAATTGCCCCAAATAAGTGATTTATAGAAGCTGGGATTCTTTCTTCAAAATGAAATATATAGGGACTCTAAGCAAATCTAACTCAGGAGTCTCTGTGTATCTGTCTGAATGTGTGTATATATTTGTATATGTAATCTGTGTGTGGGGATGTATTTGTGTGTTATGTGTGTGTGTGTGTGTGTTTGTACAAAGAAAGACAAAGGGAAATGGATGTTAAAGAGAGTAGGAAACAGGGTACATTGTGAATTCTTGTTTTAAAAAAAACAATCTTGGATCACTGAAAAAAAATTAAATTTAAAAAATTAAATTTAAAATTAAATTAAAAAAAAATTAAATAAAAAATAAAAGCCGAAAGTAAGAATTCAATTCTAATGGATCAAGGCATAAAGAATACAGATTAAAATAGTCCCTCTGAGTGAGCTGGCTGTTAAATTCATTATTTAAATCACTATATTTTTTTACCTAGAATTTGGGCTAATTATGACCATGTGTAGTTATTTTACCAATGAGTTGCATCAGTGTTTAACTGTTTACCCCAGTGCCCAAGTTTCTTAATCTATCCTTTCAATAGCTTCAGTTTTCATAATATGAGTGACTATACTTCTGTTTTGTATCAGAACTTCCCAGTGAGTTGTATATATAAAATATTTAAGAGACAGTTTCTTTCGATATTTAATGCCATCCATTCTTATTTTTGATTTTATGCTTTGGTGTTGATACTTACTTTGGCAATTGGGTTCCTTTTTGAATTGTCTTCACCTTCACGACAGGCTGCAGCGAACTTGATCCATTCACGTTTTTGCCTTCTGATTGAATGCCACTTGACAGTGCCATTTTTGGTGTTGTAATCTCTTACCTTGAATGGGCATGATAAAGTAGTGTTATTTATTAACTTTTATTCATAATTCACATGTCACTGAAGGTTTTGGAGGGGAGGATAATTGTAATATCGGAAAGAGAAGATGCTTAATTGGGAAAATTGGTGATTTGATAATTAATTTTAGCATAACATTATTTTTTTTACTTATAAAGATAAATTTTCTTTGGAAAATGTGTTGTTACCCCCAAACCATTTTTCCTCATTTTTAATTTGGAAAAGATAGATATGCTGTGTATTACCTGGATTCGAAATTCACTGTTAACTTCCACCACCACCTATTAAAAACAAAATGATCACAACAGTTAATTTTATTAAGTGCTTTATAATTCACGTTATCCAATCATTTAAAAAAATCAAATAAATCTTGTGAGTCATTAGAATTATTTTATAAGTCCAGATATCAGATGGACGTGGCTTCTCTCTTAAGTCTAATGATGATGCTGTGGATTCCTTTCCTTTTGTCTTTACTTTTCAGTTATGCCCTTCTTTTTAATTACTTTTATTTTTTAACTTCTTTTTCATTTTTCACCTATGAAGATACTTGTTATGATATGAACTAGGACACTTTACCTGGGGGAGTGAGGATAGAAAATTTAGGCTTTCTTAGTAAATCTTGTGCCTATGGAGCTAGAGATACTTTGCTACTATTCAGTGATATTCAACAGTAAGTTATGATACTTAAACTTTTGACTCTAGTTTCAGGATCTGACTAGCCATAGATGGAAACAGGAAAAAGCGTGTATCTGAAAAGTTTCAGAATATTTGCTCCTTCATATTCTAATTTTAAATGGAAGATTTTCTAGTATTTTTGAAAATCTTAAGATGATAGATTTACTTTGAAATATGAGAATAGGGGCACTTGGGTGGCTCCATCATTAAACATCTGCCTTCGGCTCAGGTAGTAATCCCACAGTCCTGGGATCAAGCCCCACGTGGGGCTTCCTGCTCTGTGGGGGAGCCTGCTTTTCCCTCTCCCACTCCCCTTGCTTGTACCCTCCCCCATCAAATAAATAAAATGTTAAAAAAAAAGAAATATGAGAATGAAAGTTCTAAAATAAAAGCAAGTAATTTCCTCTGTAAAAATGAGTTCTTGCTTCATGTTTTATGCTAGCCATATATATATATATATATATATACACACATATATATATGTGTGTATATATATATATATGCATCCTTCTATAGTTCCATACCAAGGAGAAGACATTGTAGGCATGTAGGGACAAATTAGCGAGTGGGTAAGCAACTTCTATTAGTCTCTTCTAACAATTTCTCTGCTCAACAAATGAGCTACTCAAGCAGAGCTTTGCCTTGTTTCAACTTGGCCTCAATCCTTACATATGATTTGTAGTGGAAGATCAGGATAATTTAAATAACTTTTCTCTAAAACACAAAAGCATTTCTAAAAAGACAGACATCTATATATTAAGGTTAATATGTCAGTATACTTAAGACAGAGTAAAAGACCGATCTAAAAAATTAGGTCTAGATGTGAAGGTTAATTTGTACTTACTAAGTTTTAACTTGCACTTAGAGTCATTAAAGGTGGTGTAAATCCTTAGTTTTTATTTCTCCCTAAATTTTTAACTTCTTTTTGAATTTTTTTCAGAATTCCAGCTTATGAAAATTATCACAATTAGACTGCATCTGTATCACTGATAAAAGAAATTATATCTTGTATTTTAAGAATACTAGTAACAGTAGTTTCAAAATATAGTGAGTTACTTTTTGTAGTTTCAATCTCACCATTAAATTAAAAATAAAATTTTGGTTTTCAAGTACATATTTTTCAAAAATTGTTATAATTGATAATTCAGGAAAATATGAATTTTTTGATTAATAAGAGTAGCATAAAGATTTTTTATAGGAATTATATACTCATGATATCTACTTAATGTTGATTATTATTATCACTGTTAATAGTCACTGAATGATGACTAATTACTAGACAAAGTGTTTAGAGAAATCCATGCATTCAGTCTTCACAAATCATGTGGTCAATACTATAATTTCATTATTTACATTTTACAGATGAGGATATTGAGTTTGGAATACTAATTTATGGCTAAATATTACCCAATACAATTTAGCCTAAATTTGGGTTTGTGGTATGGGTTTTACAATAAAATGCAAGATAGCCTATTCCAACTAAATTACTAAATAAAATATACTACAGAGAATTGACATTACACCTTTGATAACTCAAAACATTCTGATTTTAATCTCATCTCATATTAGCCTTACAATTAGGAATTTTCATATATAACAACAACAACAACAATATTAGTGATTTTAGGGGGAAAAGAAGTAGATGGTGCAAATGGTTTGGATGAGTCACTGAAAATGTTGTTGAGTCCCTCTTGGGTGCAGAATTAAGATGATGTTTCTTCGTGCTGCCTGTGAACTCATGAGCAGTTTATCCTCTCTCTCATTTGTGGGTGTGGAATGGGAATCTGGGGATACCTTCTTTGTCTATTTGGAAGCCATTTCTTCATAGCTACAGAGTTGTGTAGGGATCTCTTATCTGTCTTGCACTTCCTTTCCACACTGAAGTGTCAGAGCGTACTGTTTGTTTTGGAGAACTATGCCAGATGACTAATAAACCTTCCAACTTTATGAAGCTGGGTCATTCTTTTTCCCATGAGAGGCAATTTAGGCAGAAGACCAAGTCAGTTTCATCATAGTGTCAGGCTCCTGATTGAATTAGTAATTTAAAAACTGCCAAGTCTGCTTAAAAATATGTTGTGTTGACATAGCCTTATTGTCATTTGCTTAGAGTCTAAAATAAACAAAGTTACTCTTGGACTTTCAAAGGCAAAATAATGAGATAGAATGGGTATTTGGTAGAGTCAGAAAGCTTTCAATGTACTTCCTAAGTCCTTGAGTCTTAGTTTTCTCATTTGTAAAATGACAGGGGTAAACCAAATTATATACAGTTACCTTTCCAATTCTAATACCAAATCCCTGTGTGCAGTAGGAAAGTATCAAAGTTACTTGATCATGGAAAAGGCATGATAAAATTGTGGGTCTAAAAGATCACTCTCACCACAGGTGGTGGAAAGAGGCAGGTTCATAGGCCAGGAGTAGTGGAGTGTTCCACATCAAAACAGACCAGAGAAAAAGAAGAGAAGCAGTGGCAGGGGTAACAGACAGCGAAGATCAAGGGAGAGATTGTACACAATTGAAACTGATGGGACTTGCGAACAAGTAGGACATGGGAGTCAAGAGAAGGAAGGATCTTAAGTGATGGCAGTTTCAAACTAAGAGATGAGGAGCAAGGCAGAAGCAGAATTTAGCAGGTTAGAAAACAATGACTTTGAGATGCTACAGAAATGGTGAGGTGAAGGTGCTTAGCAATTTGAAATATGTCTCAACACAATGAACAATAGTTCAGTCCTCATACACATACTTGAGGGATACCTCAGGTAGAACAGTTTAAATCATGGGAGAATTTGAAGACCCTAAAGTAGGGAATACAACAAAGAAACAGCCATGTGGCTGAGCATGAAACTAGGGCAATAGCTACATGAATAGACTAGGGAACAATGACAGAAACAAGCAATAAAGAAAAAGAGAAAAGAAGTGGCCAAAGAAATGGGAAGACAAGATAATGCAATATCACAGATGTCAAAGGAAGGGAGAACTAAAAGAGGCATGAGATGTGAACAAGTGTCAGATGACATAAAATATTTGAGTAGAGTGAATCTCAAGGTTTCCTGTGACCTTCAGAATCCTTTCACTTCCATGGAACAAGTCCTTCCTGACCTAAAGGGATTGGGGAACAAAATGGTGGGGAAAAGACATAAAGATGGCCACCTTTCCAGGAAAATCGATTGTAAAAGGAAACAAAGATGGAATGATAGAATGAGACCTGGCATCCAAGAAATATTCTGGGAGAGGGAGACATGGATTTTTGAAGTGAAGGAAGAAGGAAGTAGGAGATTTTGTTTGGAAAAAGAGGTTCAGAAAGAAAGTACTTGGTGGAAGTATGATAGAGCAGGAGGGAATAGGTAGAAAGACAGACTCTGAAGACAGAGGGTAAGGAAGAGAGGAAGGATGGAGATTTAAATCAATAGACTATGAGAGGTAGTTGAAGGACATCATCCAATTGATCTAGACTCTATCTGTAGAGTAAGGATAAGGTTATTTTCTATCAATCAGGGAAGCAGTTTGGATTCCTAGATGAGTTGGAAATATGTACTGTGGAGGCTTGTGATGGAGATTCACTTACAAATGAATACAGGCATTATTAGGCTGAGTATCTCATCTCTCTTGCCTACTGGGTGTGTCCCTCTGTGCCTCTGTTTCTTTGGCAGTTTATAAGACTAAAATCCTTTGTAATTTAAAAATTCTTAGAAAGGAGTGGATATAATCCCCTTGAAGTGCATCCTCAGTGAGTCCTTCCTTCATTTCTATTTGAAGAGTCAATCCACATAAAGACTTAAAAAGCCACAAGACACAAAATTGTATGCTATTTTCAATGATTCTCTAATTCTACTCATTTTTAGGCTTTTTTTTTCCTTTGATACTGAGGTTTACATCTCTTTGCAAATAATAAAATGGTCTTGAAAGTAATAAATAATTTCAATGAGAAAAACCTCTTATATATGGAATTGGGAAGTGGTTTTCCATAGCCACTTGCTGGTTGTTAAGCATCAAAAGCTGACATATTTGAAAACTGTACTTTACATCACGAGAAAGAACTTGAGACACAGTCGAAATATAACAATTTGCTTCTTTTCAAAAACTTCCTCTTTTGTCTTTGTATTATGATCAGTTTGGAGTTGACAATACCTCGTTAGGTTGATTTTTCTTTCTTGCTCATTGGCTTATTTATTTATTTGACAAAATATGTACTGAATGTATATTATGTGGAATCAAGGCTGGATTAAAGGGCTTAACCCCTAAAAAATACTGTGGTAAACCTTAGATGGAATGTAAAGTAAATGTAATAAAACACCATAACAATAAGTGTTAAGGAAATTCAACCTGATTATTTCTATGTTAAATACCTTGATGGTTTTTTTTGGAACGTGTAGGGGAAGAGAAATATAAACTATCTCCAAATTGCCTTCTGATGCCCCTACTTTGTGTAATTAAACATCTATTGAGCAATCTTGCCCTGGTGCAAGGCACTACGAAGAATACAAAAGTGAATCAGACACAGAATCTGCCCTCAAATAACTTACAGTCAGGTAGTTTTATGAGCAACCAGCAGCCATTAATTTGTGGAGATGTGGTTTTTCATTAGACAAGTGTAAAAGGCTGCACCCTATTCTCCTAGACCCATAGAGAATATAGATCATCAGCCAATGGCATTTAAACTACTTCGACCTGCCTAAGTCTTTAAAGGAATTTGCGTGGCAAGCATAACCAGCAAGAGTGGTGTGTCCCAGCACTCTGTAGGGCGTTCCCTCATTGACAGAAGCATAATAAGTAACTGCAATGCCGAGCATGCTTTCTGCTTATTTGTTAGGTAATACCTGTTAGGACATGGGGATACTCGGCACCAGTGTCCTTGAAGAAGGTATAGTGGAGAGTTACCTGAAATTAAGTGCTCTGGGTATAGATAGGAGTGTTTTCTTTTCTACATCCATAATCCTTGTCAAATAGGTGAATATTGTTCGTTGGGGAACAGCATTTCTCAATGGTTTAGGTTTTTCTATTACCTAAGTCAGGCATTGCAAAATCTTTTCCTCTAATTCAAACCAGTTAAATGATGGTAAATTTCTAGTCCCTGTTTTCACAAAGGTGCAAGAAGATGCTGATCTTAAATCTTCAGTAATAATAAAGCTTTTAAGAACACATGGAAATGGAAATAATTTTCCTTAAATACAAATTGTTAATTTTGCTGGAACAGGTGAACAGAAATATTTCCATTTTCCATGAAATAGTTCAGTGATGTACTATTACCTATAATATATATCACAATAATATATGTACAAGAAAGCATAGAGAATCCTCTCCTTTGCTTGTCTTCTGTTTGGTCTGTACTAGTTTTTAGTCCTTCTCTTGCTTTAAGCATCAATGAACACAATTATGGGAATTTAAGAGGTCTGGTTCAAGTAAGTTGATGAACTATGTAATGAAGTATGTATTTTTTTTCCCTGTGTATTTTAGCCTGAATCCTGAGAAATACTTTGAAAACTCCTGCTTCTATCCTAAATTATTTCAGCTAAGTCAAATTGTGGATCTGGTTTATCAGGTGGCTAGAGGTTTTCTTTTGAAAGGAAATATTAACTGTGAGAGGAGCAGAAGCTAAGTTGGTGTGATAAACTCTACAAACTGAATTATTCTTGGAAATCAGTAAAGACAGGTTTGCTTGTTCTTTGAGGATAAGCTGCAGAAGTTAGCCTTTATAGAAAAAGATACCTTGAGTCTGTATTGATTTGCATTGACTAATTGAATCTGGCAAAGTTGCAAGTAATTTTCAGATATCATTAGAACTATAACAATTCTACCACTTCTGTTTGCTTTCCTACAGTGGCCTGGCCAGATATTATCTCATTGTCATAACCATTCACAGAGATTTCTTATGTATGGTACCTGGGTGACATTGTTCTCTGGTCTAGAATACATTCCCAATCCCTCCTCCCCAATACACGAAATTTCATGGAGAGAAAAAGAAAGAAAAATAAATGAGAAGTCAGTAACATTTCTTTGGCTTACAGTGTTATAACGGGTATAAGCTCTTGTCTCTCTCGGAGGCTTGTCTAAATCATGGAATAGTCCTGTGACCATCTTGCTTGTTTTAAGAGCAGATTCTCCATCTTTATTCTCCCTGATCTAACTCACTGCTCTGAACATGACCTGAAACTCTCAGGTACATTAAGGAGACTCCACAACGTACATGTGAATAGTTGGCTGCTCAGCTCTCAAATGGATTTGCACTAAAGATATTACCAGTTTAAATGTCTTAAAGGTCTTTTAATTGTCCAAGTATGCTCCCTAAGGTAGATTTTCACTTACTGTGGACTCTGAGCAGAGAAGAAAGACTTTTCATAGATTTTTTTTTTTTTTTTTTTGTCAAAGCAAACATTCCTAGTGAGGCTAGCAGAAAGCTAAGTGGAAGAGCTTGCTATAGTGGTAGTTAATTTTCAGGGAAAAAAAATATTTTTTTAAGATTTTATTTATTTATTTGACAGTGATAGAGAGAGGGTGACCATGAGCGAGAGAGAGAGAAACAGACTCCTCATTGACCAGAGAGCCCGTTACAGGACTCGATCCTAAGACCCTGAGATGGACCCAAGCCAAGGGCAGATGCTTAACCAACTAAGCCACCCAGGCACCCCAGAAAAAAAAAAAAATATATATATATATATATATATTTTTTTTTTAAAGATTTTTATTTATTTATTTGACAGAGAGAGATCACAAGCAGGCAGAGAGGCAGGCAGAGAGAGAGGAGGAAGCAGGCTCCTACTGAGCAGAGAGCCCGATGCGGGGCTCGATCCCAGGACCCTGAGATCATGACCTGAGCCGAAGGCAGTAGCTTAACCAACTGAGCCACCCAGGCGCCCCAGAAAAAATATATTCTAAAACAAAAATAGATTGCATAACCCCAAAGGACATTTATCCAAATCATCTGGTAAAATCTGTACTAAAAATAAATGATGATTTTTCAGACCTTAGAAAGTAAAATGTTTTATAAAGAAAGTTACAATAATATGAAAAAGAAACATTTTAATTCATTACAGAGTAAGTTCTTTGAGAAATAATTTTCACCAGACAAGTGAGAAACTTGTAATTGATTCCAAAGTAAAATATGGCAACAAATAAAGGATTCACAAACAAAAAACCAAAACTATCCAAACTTAGACAATAAAGTATAAAAACCAGAAACCTCTCTATAAAGAAGAAAGGTCATTGAGAATACATGATTTTGATAAAACAATATATTTTATGAAGAATGACTAGACAGTGACTATTTAAAGAAATTTCATAGTATGTAATGAATTAGAAATAATCATAAAATAAATAAGTTATTTTATACTTTTAATTAAAGCACATAAGTACCTCAATAAACTGTAATCAACCGAAGCTATAATAGGCTTTAAACAGATTTATATGAAGTTAAAAATGAAAGTATTTGATTACCTTGCAATATACAGATGTTCCTATATTTAAATAACATAGTGTATAGTGCTTGTTAATCCCTACCACATCCCAAATTATAATATTAACTGGTCCTAAAGATCCATTAAAAAGTCCCTGATATAGGGCTGGTCTTTGAAGGCAGCTTGGAACTAAAGCTACCAGCTTATTGATGTTTATTTGTAACAAATCCACTGGTAAAACCTCTTTGACTTAATAAACTGAATTCAAACTAACCAGCATACATTGACTCAAAGGTCTAACTTGTTAATTATAGAAACCCAACAATCCGGTTCAAAAATTAAGCAAGTAAAAACAAATACAAACCACAGCACTAAATCCTGCCAAACTGGAGGGTGATTTACCCAACTTGCCTCTTGAGATTACATTAACCTTACTGTGAGAAAGACTATGATTTTAAAATTTCCAACCTCTGTGAAATTTGATGCAGCACCTTAGTGTTATCTTACTTATCTCTAAAAAGAGAAAATTAATAATGTGTAAGGCAGACAGTGATAAAGCATCGCATTACATTTGTCTAAACATCAAATATACAATTTTTCTATCACAGTCATTACTGACTTTCCAGTAGTAAGAACCGGTATCATAATAATTATACTTACCCCTTAATTATAGCTATTCCTTCACTTATTATATCATTTATAAATCTTCCATACTGCCATGTTTTTTGAGATTAAAAAAAAATGTTGTTTTAAATACAATCATAGTTTAGCTGTGTGGGCTTTTGATATTAGTGGTATGGATCCCAACCACACATGGAACCGATGAGACTGTTTGGCTCATGGGGCCAGTTGCACGTTGCTATGGTTTAAATGTATATGTATCCTATTTTTGTGTTTTAAAATTATAGTGAATCTGCCAGCAAAGATCCCCAAAGAATGGAAAAATGTTTAGGGTAAAGATCAGGACCACCTGTGATACTAATTTAAGAGCCCATCTGCAAAAAAGAATTTGAACGACCAAATGTTAGTGAGTGGTGATAAGACTTTCCCAAATTCGGTGTTTTCCCAGCATGACTTAGCACTGACTTCAGTGTCAGAGATGTGATATGATGAGTTAACTCTGATGCATTAATATGCTCGAGTCTTCAATTAAAGAGAGAAACCCTATTTAAAAATCTAGTTCATAAAATTACCTTGTCATTAACATAAACTTTTAATGGGTTTAGGTTAGAAATAACACTAACACTTTCTAAAAAGTTCCCCCTTATTCACAATGAGCATGATTAGGAGGTTTTTGAACAGAATACACTTACCAGAAAAATGAACAGCACCGCGGCTCTGATAGAGTGCCAGTCCATTGCAGCTGGGTTCCTTACATCCAAGACCGAGGGAGTTTTGTTTGTTCTTCTCTGTTCTTTTTCTTTCCCCCGCTCAGCTGGTGTCTGATTAAAATAATTTCTCAGTAGATGTTCCTACATGCAGGCTTTGAGGTGTTTCTGCCTTCTCTGGGAGAAGAACTGAAGCTACGTATAACCAGTCTAGATCCCCACCCTAAAAACTTGGGCTGGTCTCCCTGAAATGCTTGACAAGATCATCATTGCTCCCAGGTAAAAGCTCAGGGACACACCCTTCTTCCAGCTGAAAGGCAGCTCTCTGTGGGGTTGGAAGATTCAGTCCTTTAGTGAAGGTGTTCAATTGTCAGGTGTTTAAAATGATCCGACGTATGGAGAGTCGTACAGTTGAGAGGGGCTTTGCCACCTGTGCTCTATTTACAAGTTGTTACGCTTCTTCTCTCTTAAAAAAGCAAATATAGTCTGGATGCTGATAATATTCAAAGATGATTATCTGGTTCATACTCATAGCCAGACACTCAGGTCAAAATCAAAAATCATAAACTTTCCACTTCAGTGGATGTTACAAAATATTCAGTTGTTTTCTAAGCTGTTACCAAAGAAACAGAAAATCTTGCTGATGTTAAGAGTGAGGATTTTTTTTTTTAAAGTATTCATTCAAACAAGCAGAACTATGCTACTTACAATGATAAGGTCCCCTGTATACGTCACAGTTCCTTTAAGTCAACAGCCTGAGTCCAGGAAAGCCTCTGTTTTTTCTCTGAGTATCTTCTCTCCCCAGTTATTTTTCTCTCTTTAAGATTCTGCCCTTTTCAAATGTAGCAAAACAAAATTTAAGGTATCTCTAAGCCAGATTAAAAGTAAAAAATCAGAGCCACCAATTAAAATCTTGTCGATCATTTTACGAATGAAGATCAGTGTCTGAAGTGCTAATGGGAACACAGAAAGCTGCTCTGCAGGTGAGGTGGGTGAGAAGTCAATGACGAGTCCCAAGCACAGAGCCAAGAATCTGGATAGTCAGCCAATTAGAACATGGGCAATGCACTGGGGAAATGGCTGCCCACACACAAGCAAATGGGAGACTGAGCGCAGCCCTGAGATTTATGAAAAGAGTGACTCTCACAAGGCAGCATTTGAAAGTGTTTGTGGGTTATCCTGTCTTACCCGGCTACATCGAGTATAAATATTATGAATGGTGGGAAGTCTTGAAATGGAACAAGACAGCCATCTGGTAAGATGTGGATTGTGGTCAGAAAGATGCTAATCACATCCCAGAAAGGGAAGATGTCTCTGAGAGTCAGGGGCTCTATGAAATGCTGTCATCTCACGACAGGTGTGTGGCAAAGAAAGTTACTCAGCAGTAGTTTGAAATTTCATTCCCTTCCTCATGGAGCTTAGGGAGAAGGAGCTACGATGCCCATATGTAGTTTCAGTGAATAAGAATGCTTATGATAAGAATTGGTTGATATGAATTAATGGCATAAAAGGAGGTGCTTAGGTCAAATTCCTCTTAGCAGAGTAAGATAGAATATGAATATCTACCTATGATGTAGTCTGAGTAATTTATTAGTGTAGGATTGTATGACTGTGAATGACTGAGGCCTCACTGAACACTAGAGAGGAAAGACTCTACTCCTGCAGCTTTCCAGTGGCAAGTGAATGTTTTATCCACCTTGAGTTCTCACCAGGGTGCTAGCTTGTGCACAGGCCCTCTTCATCCATTGAATGGTCCTTCCCCAATCCCAACCCTGGCTCCACCCCTAACTCAACACCTTGCTCCAAAAGTCCCTACCACCTCAAGCATTTGTCAGGCAGCCATCTCTCCAGCAGCTCTCTGGAGAGGAGGTGTGGCAGAACCTTAATATAGGAAAGCAGTGGCTATCTTAACTGTCACATGAGGACTAGTGATAGTGAGCACTAGTGGGAAAGGGAGTGTATGAATCATCATTCCTTCTCCTTCCCTGCTTTCCCTGCCTTTTTTTCTTTCCTACTATCTTAATCTCCTTAGAGCACAGTTTTCCAATAGAAGTTCCTGAAACGTGGAAATGTTCTCTGTGCTATCCAGTATGGTGGCCACTAATCACCTATGGCTATGGAACATTTGACATGTGGCTTAATATGACTGAGGAGCACAATTTTTAGTTTCATTTAATTTTAGTTTAAGTTTAAACAACCACGCGTGGCCAGTGGTTAGCATATCGCGCAGTGCAGAGAAGTGAGAGCAGCATTGCTCAATATCTTCTATCTTGTTTTAAGCCTTCACTCCTTTTGTTCTTATACACTCGGCTCCCTTTAATTACACCTACTCTATTCCTTTTATCAACTGTATTCCTCTGTCTTCCAGAGTTTCCAGTCAATACCTTTTGATTCCCTTTCCTTTATGTGCTCTTGTTACATGAGTGGCCATCTCCTTCTCCCTGACTCCTTCCTGATCCTATTTCCTAATGCCGGTGAGTTAAGATACTTTAAAACACAGGCAACACAAACCCCTCTCATTTGCCTATTGATGCAGTATTTTCTCAATTATTTTCTCATTTATTTTCTCAATTTTCTCAGTTGTTTCTTCCAGCCATCTTACCTGTAATTTCGTATCACGTTGTCAGAGAACTGTGAGGCATGGTTGGCTTCTGGTCTCCCTAGACACTGTTTCTATCTGAACATTGGTTGGTGTTTGGATCTCCACGTACATACCAACAGTTCTCATTTCATAGACATTTTATGAAATTTGGCATGATTTTTCTGTTTGGAATTTCCCTGATAAGCAAAAGATTTTCTCATGGGATCAAAAGTTTCCTGGGAAGGGATTCTCCTCTCTCTTATAAGGTGTTTGCAAACTCCAGAATTCCATCTCCAGTGCCTCCATTTCTGTAATTGTTCACAGCGTGGGATACTGTAACACCTTCTTACAAAACAAAATAATCAGCATCTTTCAGTAAAGGTGATGGATTCTAGTGATCTAAATTTTTAAAAAAGATTTTATTCATTTATTTGAGGGAGAGAGTGAGAGTGAGAGAGAGTGAGCAGGGGCGCCGGCAGGCAGAGGGAGAAGCAGACTCCCCATGAGTAGGGAGCCCAAGTAGGGAGCTCCATCCCAGGACCCTGATATCGTTACCTGAGCTGAAGGCCGATGCTTAACCAACTGAGCCACCCAGGTACCCCCCGATTTAGAATTTCTTTAGCCCAATTAAAGTACCTGATCATTCTACCCACTTCATATACATAGCATGAATGTTTCATGCTATGTCATATGTTTCAGAGAAACCCAGTGTAATAAGCTTTTATGTCACATGTGAAATTCTACTTTCATATCTGTATCAAATTACCCTAATCAGCTCTACAAGTTATTTTTTAAAAGATTTTATTTATTTATTTGACAGACAGAGATCACAAGTAGGCAGAGAGGTAGGCAGAGAGAGAAGAGGGGAGGGGAAGCAGGCTCCCTGATGAGCGGAGAGCCCGATGTGGGGCTCGATCCCAGGACCCTGGGCTCATGACCCGAGCCAAAGGCAGAGGCTTTAACCCACTAAGCCACCCAGGTGCCCCTCTACAAGTTATTTTTAAAAATAGGTGAAAGATGAAAATAAATCTTAAAAATAGAAAAATTGAGGTAAATATGTTGAGGATAATATAAACGAAAATTTTTGTATTTGTTTCTATATTAATGTTCCTATGAGATGTATTGATTCTAGAACTTGTTCACCATTTTAAAATCAGGCTATTTCTCAGGGAGTCACAAGAAATTCTGGGGGTTGGAGGCTATTGTTTTAGATTAAAGGATCCTTTTCTTTTAATATGTAGCAACCAAATATAATGTCTGATCCTTAATTGGATTATTCCTGATTTGAACAAAAGAGCTATGGAGATGATTTTGGAGATATTTGGTGAAATTTAAATATAGACTTTTGGGGAATTATTGTAAATTTTATTAGGTTATGTAGCAGTTTGTCTTTGTTTTTGAAGATACATGCTAAATCATGCAAGGCAAAACTGCTGACAGAAATTTTCTTTATGGTAATTTAGCAGTAACATAGATAAAGCAAATACGGTAAAATGTTAATGGCCAAATCTAAATGAGAGTATATGGTCTTCTCTTTATTTTTCTGTGTATTCAAGAATTTTCATAATAAAATTTAAAATAATGGTCTAAAGTAGGGGTTGGCAGATTATAGCTATGGGCCAAATTTGGCCCACTGCCTTTTTTGTTATTTTATTGAAAAATGACCATGCTCATTTGCTTATGTATTGTCTATGGCTACTTTTCCTCTATGACAGCAGAGCTGAAGAGTTATAACAAAGTGGCTTGCAAAACCTAAAATAACTACTTATCTGGCTCTTTACAGAAGTTTGCTGACCCCTGCAGTAGGTGAGCAGATTATAATTTATAATACAAAATATGATTCATTAGGAAATTAGTTGACCTTAGGAGAATCCACAAAATCGATTGAAAGTATATGAACAGAAGTTATCATGACTTAAAGTAACCACTAAAATCAAAGCAATTAATCACTGAGGAAAAGATGCATCTTTATAATCAAAATATATTTTTAGTTTTATATTTCTAGAAAGACTGCTTAATTGACTAGAATAATCTATGGCCCAACTCTTCTGCCTTTCTTTTAAACCAATTTTAAGGTAAACCTTAATTTTATTTTTCCTCTAGTCAATTCTAGAATAAGAATTTGATAGCATCACATCTTAATGTATTTTTCTCTATATAAAAAGAATATTCGTGACGAGAGAAAAGTCTCCGATTATTTTATGAGCTTGAGGCTCTATCCTGACACTTAAATATTTTATGATAAAATAAGAGCTGTCAAAGAAACTAAGCTATTATTGTTGATTCCTTTAAAAATTTTTAAAATAATTCTGATGGAGAATCCACTGCATTTTCATTGTGGTAGTAGGCATTGTGGAACGTTCAAAATAATTTTGAACTTTATGTTTACAGAGGTTACTCTGTAGCTGCAAATATAGTGTAATAGAAAAATTACTTCTCCCTTCTGAAATACTTTCTTACTCACACACCTATGTCTACTAGCTACTACCCCAGTGTTTATTTGGATTTTATGTGCAAATTCAGTCCTTCCTTTTACTTATAGTAAATTACCAACAGGGTAGTTCTATGACTTTTTTCCCCCCCGTACTATTTCTTGACTATATACTATACTAGGGACTGGGATTATAAAGATGAATATACCTTGGTCTTTGAATTCTAGTGTTTCCAAGCTAGCTGGAATGGGAAAGAACAGATTTTCCCCTAACATGCTAAATAGAAACAAGCATGAGGTGTGTTGGGAGCCCTTAGCCCTATTTTGTTGGAGGTGACATTGGAGAAATCTTATACTGTTAAAGACTACAACTGTATGACATAATAAAATTGAATTCTAAAATGCTGGATTTTTTTACTTCTTTTCTTTGTAGTTTACCTAAACCAACTCATGTATGCTTTCAAACTTACATCTTATTTTATCTCAACGTTGCCTTTCTGTCTTCATTTCTGCTGCTGTAGGTCCTCTCCACCCAGCATCGTCATGGCACACTTCTAACTGTACTTCAGCACTTGCCCTTTTAATCCATCTTGGATTCATTTTCCGGAATAATGTTTTTGGAACATTGATCTCCTTATGTCACACTTCTTTTCAAAAACCACAGTAACTT